TTGCCTATAGCTAGATCTAAAACCCCGACTGAATTGGTGTCAGTCGGAGATTCTACCACTAAGCCGTCAAGACGGCAGGATGAAGGTGGATTTTAGCGTATTTATTTTTGGAAACACGCCCAGTGACCGACAGTGACTCAATTCGCTTTTTGCGAAGAGTCTCGCTATATTAGCTATAATAGTCACTGTTTACAAACCCACCTTCTTTTATACAGGTTTCACTGAAGATAATTGAGAAGACACTGCAGTTAAGTTTTTTATTAAATTTCTCTTGTATTCATACAAGTGATTTCTTTTCTGAGCATAGTGTGTAAAAACTATCCAAATGATCTGTGGATCTGAGCACTTTTGCTAATCTATTAACCATTATCAAGGATTTTTTTTTTCTTTTGGTTTAACTGAATATATAGATTTATTTTTTTTTATAGCAATAGGAATGTTTTAATTTCCAAACACCATCAGCATGTTGTGGCCATGTTCATAATTGATATTATTGAGAGTTGGTTTCTTCTTTTTTATTGTTAACAGCAACACTCACCATTACTTTAAACCATTTCCTGCATATAGATGAGTGCTTTCTACATGTATATGTTGCAGGTAGAGGTTGATAGGTTTCTGTATGTATTTAAATAAAACCTGTATATATAAAATGTGTGTGTGTCTTTTAAAGGACAAATAATGAAATTGAAATGTGATAAAAAATGGGGGATGCTAATTCAAAAAACAATAGGAATAAAGCTGCTGTCTGACAAAATTAAAATCTATGTGGCAAATAATCAAAGCACTAAAATTTTGTATCAACAAGCGGAGCCCTACTTTAAAGGGATGAAATAAGAAAAAAAGAACCTTGAACAACATGTCCATTAAAAAATAAATGAAGCTAGTTAATGGCATTGAAGTTTGACTCAACTGTAATGAGTATTTTAACATGGTGACTCAAAATTATGTAGCAAATATGTTAGAAGGAAATATTGTAACCTCAAGGTCAATGGGGCCTTAGTGATGATGATCGTGGTGATATGTAATTGTGAATTATTGTTAATTTTTTTTTTTTTTTTTTTTTTTTTTGTGGGAGCATGTTAGAGTGTTTAAAAATAGTAAGCGTGAGATTGCTTGTTTCAAGATGTGTAAATGATGAATTTAAATATCTTCAAAATTATGAAAACAGAAAATGTGTTTAGTGTTTGATTATTATCATATTGTGGAATGATTAAACATCTTTTTTGACATTAAAAATTAAAAAAAAAAAAAAACACGAAGAGCTAAAAGGAATAATGCCATTCTCTCAGACTTTAATTTTGATTAAAAAGCCTTTTTTGGTGGTAAGTCTTTTTAATCAAAATGCTTTCTTTTTTTTTTTTTAATCATGCGATCTCTGTTTCCATGATTCATGGAAATGATGAAATGCTTGTAATAAAGATACTGTGGTGAAAAAATTTTTTTTCTAGAAAGAAAAAAAAAATCCAAGATATGTTATACTATATTTTGGTTTCTGTATTTTTATTTGTTTTCTGCAATTGAAAAGATTATTAGTACTGTCCAAAAGCATTATTTCAGCAATTTTTGGTATAAATCAAGAATTTTTTTTTTTTTTTTTTATTCAGGAAATGTTAATGCCTTATGTTTTTATCGCTATTACATGCTTAATACTGGCAGATTTTTCTTTTCCCTTGTATTTTTTTTTTATTTTCTTTGTTACATATTCTCATGTGTGAGTCCCACTTTCCCCCACTAACTTGTAATGTAAATTTAGTGCTATACATCATTTTTTTTCACCATGGCTAATGTAGAGAGTCTCACAGAAGTGTAACATCATTTTCAACACAAATAAACTGCTGACTGAAATAAATATGTCTTCTCCAGCTTTTTCCTCACATTTGAAAAAAAAACAAAAAAACTTGTGACTTTCCCAATTACTGAGTATTATCATCTTAGAATTTGTGCACTAAAATTTTTATATACTAAAATTCAATTAGTGCAGTAAAACATTCTTCAGTTTTACCATAGTAATTGAAAATTGATTTTTTTTTATAGTTACCAATGTACAAATTAGCCGCACTAATCGAGGGATTCGTGTATACACAAATAGAAATACTAAAAGAACTGTTATTATCAAAACCATTGTTAGTGACTTCAGTCTACACTGGGTGTCTCTCAGTTGCAGTCCTTTTCCAGATTAAGTTATGTATAATAAATATCTACTGTAGAAATACTAGAACAAATCTTGCATTAATGAATAATATGATGGCATAAAAGATGCCCAGGCATATTAGACCAACCCTACTCCACCCCCACCACTCCAGTAGGGCATATTCAGGAAAAAAATATTTAACCTTTAGCACTATGTAGGGGGCTATTTTCGCCAAACAAAATGTTAGTTCTGCCAATGTTAAATTTGAATTTCTTGTTTGTATAGCAACACCTAAAACAATCTTGACTGAAATTGAGAGCCAGACTACTGCAATTTCAAATATATAAAATTAATATATAAAACACTATATTTTGATGGGATTCCATATACAGGAAGTAAGATTTATAAATTATGCAGAATTATGCTAAATGTTAATCTATTTAATATTTTTAAGTCAAATTATCATCACATTTTTCTGCAGCCTTCATATTTTGTTTTCTATGTTAGTGTTTTACTATTACCATTATTTCATTTTGATTACATTTTCTGTAGTCTCCAGTTGGTTAATGATGGGAGGGTATTGAGGCATATTCAGGTATGATAGATCAGCTGGCACTACCAAAAATTGTTAGTGTTTTCTTACAATAATTCCTTTTAATAGTATAAATAACATTTGAGCAAATATGGAATCAGATTTAGTAGAAAGTAAAAATTATAGCCTGTGGTAGTGAGCATTTGATATAAAATTAGCCTGCAGGACACCTCACATTTCACATATAAGACACAGTTTTTTGTTTTTTTATGTTGCTGGGGGAATTAATCTTATGCCATCAAATATAATTGTTGATAATTCATTGTACAGTAAAGGACAAAGTTATAAATGATAATACAATAATTTTAACTGTTGATGACGTAAATATTTTTTAATCTGAAGTAGAAGAAAAAGTAACTCGAGAAGAGATGCATATAAATGAGTTTTCATTTTTATATGCTTATTTATCCTTGTGGATATTTTTATATATTATGATTATGCAGATCTGTAAACAAAATCTTTTTTCTTTTTTTTCTTTCTTTCATTCTTTTTTTTTTTTTTTTTCATTTCATCCCATGCAAGGAAAATAAAGTTACTAAGATGCAAAGAGTTACAGAGTGAGATAATACGAGAAAAAGAAAATATTATTAAGGAGAGAGAACAATAAAAGAACAGGAATTAAGAAAACAAGATAACTGACATTGCATTTAAATTTTTTAAGATCAAACTTGACTGGAAAGCAAGAAGCCAGAATAGAGTTCCACAAGTGAGAATTACAAGAGAAGAAATTGTTAGCATAGAACTTACATCTAACCATTTCAAATGTAAGATGAGACTTTGCTGCTAATCTAGTACGCTTAAATTCATAAAGTCTAGGCACAGACTTAGGCAGGATTTTATGGGTGATTGACAGATTTTCATGCAGCACATCTTTTCTCTTCAAGCCACCATTAGCCAAAGAAAGGCTAGGGCCAAAGACTACTGGCACCAGAATTGTCATTTGACATAATGAAGTTGAATGTAATATCAGAAGACTGTTTTAGGGCTCTGGTTCCATGTTTTATCTTTAGGCTTTACTCTTGAAGACCTTTCTATGATTGGGTACAGCCACAAGGCAGCAGAGGCTTGAAATTTCCTTCTCTTAGAGAGCTCTCCCAGGTTAACAAGTTCCATCTAATCAACTGCTTTTGAATATATCTATTAAACAGTATACTTTCTATGAGGCATAACAGGGAATGTTCAATTACCTAGTTTCTTTTCTTCCAGATCACATTTGAAAATATCTGATGCCTGATCAAAATGTATTGCGACCGTTGCTATGGTAACGGAGCTAAAGTATGAAGAATGAAGTCACTTTGCACAGATTGACCTTGAACTCTGTCACACATTAAGTTATGACATTCTCACTTATTTCTATTGTTTATAGCTGTGCTTGGTAGGAAAGTGTGTAGAGTGTGGTTGTCTCAACACACCACAGTTTCGATCAGTGACTATGGCTAGAGTTAGTTTTTTCGCCAAGCACAACATTCCCTAGGTCCAACAACTGCCATATTCCCCAGATCTTGCCCCTTGCAAAGGAACAAGATTTCAAGACGTCGAGGCAATCCAAGAGACTGCAACAAGTAGCTGCTCTCTGTCCCCATAAAGGAGTTTCAGGACTGCTTCCATCAATAAAAACGATACTGGATATAGTGTGTGTCTTTAGAAGGGTACTACTTCGATGGAGATTAAATGACAAATTGAAAGGTGTACGTGTGTGACTTTCTGGCTGCTTGTTTCTCAGTATGCTTGCATGCTAGGGTGTCTAGTTAATCTCTGTTGCAACTGCCTGCTCAGGCACATTTTTTTTTTTTTTTTCAACCCCCACAGAGCCAACCTGTGGTCTATGCTGCAATTATACTAAGCAGACCTTCGTTAGAATTTTTGGGAGAGAGCACACAGTCTGGTGTGGTCAGTAGCTGAACAAAGCTAGCATGCCCAAACTCTCTTTGAATTGTAACTGTGCTGGCACAACCAATGAGAATTTGAAAGAGGTTTTGCCTATCCAATTGCAAGGCTTGGGTTAATCCATGTTATGATTTACCCATGTTATGGTTTTCCCAAAGGTACTGCACACTGGGATGGTCTTTCTAAGCTGTTATTATCAAGGTCACTGTGGTGAGAATTGAACCCGGGTTTCATAGCCAGAATGCTAATACTCTAACTATGCATACCAATAACTTTGCTCCTTAATTTTCGTAAACGTGTCTACTGCTCACATTCTCTCAATGCCACATTGTCAGTGTAAAATAACTTATTTTAGAAGTTGATTTAAAAGTGTTATTTTCCAACAGGCGTACAACCATATCATGTTGAAACATCGGTTTCCATATGATCACCAAAGTTAAGCAACATTGAGCCTAGTCAGTTCCTAGATAGTTGGCTGCTTGGGAATACCAAGTGCTATAAGCTTGTATGTGCAGGTGGTGCAAAAGATAATGGCTCGGAATTGTTAATTGGAGAGCCAAGTTTCAATTCCAGCTAGGTTCGTTACATTCATTTATGTGCAAATACCATTGGGGAAAGGTATGAATCCACCTCTTCTTTCCCCAGCTATGGGTTAATTAGTAAGAATTGTGTCCCTAAATCATTATCTCAAAAAAAGAAAACACTAACTTCTTCAAGAAATCATGCCAATTCACAGATAATAAAGAAAAGGAATATGTGAAGAGTCATGATCACCTATATTCCAAAGTGGCGCATAGCATATATATATATATATATATATATATATATATGTTTTGTATTTATTATTAATATAAATTATAGCTCTATTATTATACATCAAGCACTATTTTTTTAGTATGAGCATACAATGTGCTATATATATATATATATATATATATATATATATATATATATATATATATATAATGTATAAGTGCGCAGGTATGCAGAAAATAGAAAAGAACATGTTGGGTGCATAATCCGGAGTTCGTTAGTATTTTTGTTTTTATTTTGATGAAGACAGTACTCCATACAGAAGTAGAGCTTATATTATAATATTTTTTGCTTAAAATTTTAAACAAAAAATATAATATAGCGAAGGAATCATATTTTTAAACAAAAAATATTATAATTATATATATATATATATATATAAAATAAAAATGCGAGTTCTTAATATTAATAAAGAATATATGTCAAATTATGCAATTCAGTGCATATCAAGTTTTACAGAACCTCTGCCAACAAAGTAATCAATAATAGACTAGAACAACAATTATTAAAACATAAGTGAAAAGTTCAATACATATTGAATGTCAACAGTGTTTTGTAATACTTGAATTACTCATGAGGAACCTTCAAAAAGATTGTATTGATCACAGAAAATCTATTTTTAAAAAAGAATTATAAAATAGATTTTAATAATAATAATATATACTGCTGGTTTGTTTATGTACATATAATAGTAGATCCTAATAGCCTTAACTATGGAAATCCCTCTCTACTCTAATTGTCCTAAATCATCCAGCTGAGTCAACTAAACACACTGGTTTATCTCACTCAACCAAAAACTGAATCCTTTTTCTCATCAGCATGTCTGAGACCTGACAAACAAAGCAAAAATTAGGAAAGGTGTGTCAAATTCTGTTAATTTCTACAAACAAAAGCACATTAAACTTGCAAGTATCACAGAAAAGTGGCCCAGTAGAATAAGCTCTTTCCGAGCCAATAAGTAGAAAAACTAAAATAGCATAAAATAGTAACGTAGCTTGTCTTTTCTGTAAATATTTTCAAGGTAATTGTCACCTTGACTTTACAAATTTAAGTGCGGTACTAGATTGGCAGCTAGGTCTCATCATTTTTCACTTGAAATTGTTAGATGTAGCCATAAGTTCTATGCTAATGGTTTCTTCTCTCACACTACTTGCCTGTAGAACTCTCTTATGGCATCTTGCTTCCCAGTTAAATTTGATCTTAAGAAATTTAAATACAATGTCAATTGTTATTATGTCTTCTTTATTACTCCTCTTTTATTGCTGTCTTCCTTTAATGTTTTTATTTCTTGCATTCTTTAACACACAGTATGCCCTTGCATCCTAGTGGCTTTATCACCTTGCTTGAGATGAAAGGATTAAAAAAACTATTCCAAATTAGTAAAATTAGCCCATTGCTGCCAACCATTTTTAGAATGGTAGGCATTAATGGATTATAAGTAAAAACCTATAATTAATATCTAGATTTTAATGGATTAATATTAATTGCTTACTAAAAATCCTCTTATTAATATTTTTTGCAATATTCATGAAACTTTCAGCTGCAATTCTTATGTCTCTTGCTCATTTTAGTGTCATAAAATTGGCAAACTTAATATTCATATGATGAGCAATTATTTGGGAGATACAAAAATTCACAGTTCTCCTTTTCTTTTTCAATAGGATATTGAGTACACAGTTTAAAACAGGTTTTGAGTTTTCTGTACTCAGTGATCAAGGAAAGAAGAGAGAAGAAATGAGGAGAGGAGAAAAAGGGAGAGAAGAAATGAGAAAAGGGAAGAGGGAGAGGAGAAAAATGAGGAGAAAAAGGAAAAGGGAGAGAAGAAATGAGGAGGAAAAGGGAGAGAAGAAATGAGGAGAAAAAGGAAAAGGGAGAAAAGAAATGAGAAGAGAATGAAAAGAGGGAGAAGAAATGAGGAGAAAAAGGAAAAGGGAGAAAAGAAATGAGAAGAGAATGAAAAGAGGGAGAAGAAATCAGAAAAAGGAAAAGAGAGAGAAGAAATGAGGAGGAAAAGAGCGAAGAAATTAGAAGAGGAGAAAAAGGAAAGAGAAGAAATGAGGAGGAAAAGAGAAAAGAAATGAGGAGAGGAGAAAAAGGGAGAGAAGAAATGAGGAGAAAAAGGAAAAGAGAGAGAAGTAACAAGAAGAGGAGAAAAAGGAAAAGGGAGAGAAGAAATGAGGAGGAAAAGGGGGAGATGAGATGAGAAGAAAAAGGAAAATGGAGATTAGAAAAGGGAAAAGGGAGAGAAGAAATGAGGAGAAAAAGGAAAAGGGAGAGAAGAAATGAGGATTGGAGGAAAAGTGAGAGGAGAAAAGGGAGAAGAAATGAGGAGAAAAATGAGAAGAGGAGAAAAAGGGAGAGAAGAAATGAGGAGAGGAGGAAAAGGGAGAGGAGAAAAGGGGGAAAAAAAGGAAAAGGGAGAGAAGAAATGAGGAGAAAAAGGAAAAAGAGGAGAAATGAGGAGAGAAGGAAAAGGGAGAGGAGAAATGAGGAGAAAAAGGAAAAGGGAGAGGAGAAAAGGGAAAAGAGAGAAATGAGGAGAGGAGAAATGAGAGGAGAAAGGAAAGAAAAATAGTGGTAAGCAAGATACATGTGTGGCACTGTTCTATTTTCAAGATAGCAGCAAAAGTAAAGATATTGGTTGCTGTAGCACGTTGCAATTGTTCTTTTAGCATAAAGAGATATGAATAGAGCTTCTCTTAAGAACATTGTAATGTTCTGAGCAAATCAATATACTGGGGGTCCCTATCCAAACACCCATGGGAATAAAAATATAAACCAGTCAATAAAAATTAAATCTATAGATTTATTGGTACTTACAACAAAACCAATGTTTAAAGCCTCTCACCTTGTGTCCATTTCATAGTCAATGCCAACTGATAAAGAATTCAGTGTGTGTTTAATTTCCTCAAAACATCCTTGCAGAGCACCGACAGCTGCAAAAACGTAATGACCATCTCATATCAGTGAGACACGAGACCACAGCATAGTCTTTTTCCTAAAGATGATACTAAAACATTCCATAAGTGTGTAGAAACTGAAATGAAGGAATACAGATAGGTAACAAAGTCAAAGTATTTTACAATCTATCGACAACACTTTTAATTCCACCATGTTCAGGCTGTGTCCAGCACAAGGAATATAGCAAACTCATTGACCGATCCATAATTGCAATTCAGTATAAATCCAGAGCCTACTCACTCCTGTTGGAGGAACCCCTCCTTGATTGACTAGGTCTTCAGGGGTGTGGCCCTGCTCACCATGCATGGCCAATTGCTGGTTGGTGAGGCTATTTAACTCGTAGTTGGGGTGGATAGGCATTAACACTGAGGAGTTCATCTACTTTTTAACAGCTCCTGTGTTTTGTACTACTGGGATTCCACATACCCTTCTCCCCAGACTAGGGAGCCGGTTTAGTTGTTGACCACTCAGATTTTGAATTCAGAGTTGTCCTTCTTTTAGACCAGTTTCCACCCAAGGAACCCATTCTGTCCTGCTATTTACCCATAACTTGAGAGAGAAGAGATGGATTCATACCTTTCCCAAGGGTATTTGCACATAAGTAAATATAACACACCCAACAGGAATTTGAACTTGGCTCTCTGATTCCTCAATCCAAGCAGCTATCCATTACACCACCGTGCCTCCATGCAATCCAGTATAAAGCTCAGACACATTTGAAACATTTTTATATAACGAACTATGACAGCTTGATAGCAGAAATAGATTCTTTGATCCATGAAAAAAGATGAAAATGATGAAATGTGCCGAAGGCTCACAGATTCAAATGTACCAGAAAAAAAAAGGTCCATTGATCAATGTCTGGAATGGAATCTACACTTATTGAATAATACTTTGAATAATGCAAACAGCATGTCATCATCATCAACATCAACATCATAATAATAATAATAATAATCATCATGTGGTCATAAGGTCACTGCACAGCTGAGCACCTGATCAGAACCTTGTGTTGCATGTGTGAACAAGATGCAAAATATTAAGATTTGTAGAGGTTGGTGAAGAATGTTGTTTTTTACATTCAAAATGAATGAATGCTGAGCGAGCATTATTTTGGAAGGTTTATTTTCATTTCCACAAATACAAATTGTATCCTTGTGCAACCTAGTTTGTGGCATGTTGGAACAGAGAGAGAAAGAGAGGAGGAGATACTGCTCCTTCTATGTAGCAGACAGTCATCTTTATTAATTCTTTGATGGTTAAAGGAGTGGACCAGCTTTCAAAAGAAAAGAGAACTGACCTCAAAGCTCTCTTTTCATGTGTTTATACTGAGGTTGGGGAGTGCATGGAGGATTGTCCTTCGCTTTGGTACAGGGTCTTTGATCTTTTGTTTTGCTTATCCAAGTATCTGGCTTCAAAAACAAAGTTAACTGATTGACTTGTCCTTAAGAACATTGGGGTTAATGTTAATGAGGTGTTAAGGAGATAAGTAGGCGATACTTTTCTGGAGATTTAAGAAATATTTTTATTTTATTTATTAAACTTTGCTTACAGCTACAGATTATTGCCTAAAGCCATGAAAACAACCACCTTTTAAATAACCATCACAAAGAGATGTTTAAGTTGGTTGAAGAAGTACATGAAAACTGATTTTTCACTAATAATTTTTAGTGATAAATGTAGAGCTACATTGGCTGTACCTGATAGCTGAAATAAACATTGGAGATATCTCCATTGCATACTGATTTCTGAATCTCTAAATGACCTTCCAATCTACCCAGTGATGTTGTCCTTCCTCTGTTTGTCTCTTCTTTTTTTGCTGAAGGTGATGCTCTTGAGGGCCATCCTTACAAGGCATCACTCATGATGTGCATAAGGAGGATACTAATGAGTGAAGGAAACAGAAAACAGCCTTGGCATACAACAACTGGTGTGTGGAATTACTTTCCGACAAAACCCTGAAACAGTACTGCACTGCTTGCTTTATTGTACAGCTGCTGGATAATATGGATCAGCTTTTATTTATTTATTTTTTCCTGCAATCTAAACAAAATAAATGACCATAATTGTTATCTAGTAGATGTTATCCAGTTTTGGAATGTAGTTTAGAGGGGAAGTAAATATTATTTGAGATTAAGTATCTTTCAGGGTTAGCATGAATTTCATAGCATTTTTGGCATTTTTAAAGATTAAAAGAAATATATAGCAAGAGTTAAGTGGACATACAAAGAGAAAGGAGTGTGTTTAAATGTTATCTCACTGTCCAATACAAAATCTTTTGCAAAGTTTTACATGCTCTGTTGCTTTTTTTTTTTTTTTTTTTTAGAACAACATTCATTCAAATTTAATTTCAATAAGTTAAATTAAAGAAAAAATTACCAATTTTAAAAATATTAACAAAAAGATAATGGTATTTCTTTTTCAAAGACTTGATAGTTTTTTTTCTTTCTTTTCTTCTTTCCTTCCTTCTTTTCTGTTTCTTTTCTTCTTTCCTTCCTTCTTTTCTGTTTCTTTTCTTCTTTCCTTCCTTCTTTTCTGTTTCTTTTCTTCTTTCCTTCCTTCTTTTCTGTTTCTTTTCTTCTTTCCTTCCTTCTTTTCTGTTTCTTTTCTTCTTTCCTTCCTTCTTTTCTGTTTCTTTTCTTCTTTCCTTCCTTCTTTTCTGTTTCTTTTCTTCTTTCTTTCTTTCCTTCCTTATTTTGTTCCTTATTGTCTTTTCTTCTTTCTTTCTTTCCTTTCTTATTTTGTTTCTTTTCTTCTTTCTTTCTTTCCTTTCTTATTTTGTTTCTTTTCTTCTTTCTTTCTTTCCTTTCTTATTTTGTTTCTTTTCTTCTTTCTTTCTTTCCTTTCTTATTTTGTTTCTTTTCTTCTTTCTTTCTTTCCTTCCTTCCTTATTTTGTTTCTTTTCTTCTTTTCTGTTTTTCTTCTTTCTTTTTCTGTTTTTCTTCTTTCTTTTCTGTTTTTCTTCTTTCTTTTCTGTTTTTCTTTCTTTTCTGTTTCTTTTATTTCTTTTATTTCTTTTCTTCTTTTCTGTTTCTTTTATTTCTTTTCTTCTTTTCTGTTTCTTTTATTTCTTTTCTTCTTTTCTGTTTCTTTTATTTCTTTTCTTTTTGTTCTTTCTTTTTTCTTTTTCTCTTTTTGTTCTTTCTTTTTCTCTTTTCTTCTTTCCTTCCTTTTTCTTCTTTCTTTACTTCCTTTTTTTCTCTTTCTTTCTTTTTTATTATTTTTTTTCTTTTTCTTGCTTTCCTTCTTTTAAGTCATATATAAGGATAGTAATTGATATTTGTTTTTAATTGAAAATATTGACAGGATAAGAACAACAAAAATCTGATTTTAAGAATGTCCCAAAATGAGTTTGAGAAAAACTAGAAGTGTAATAAACAAGAAAAGAAACTTGACCAGCAAAACAATATTTGAAAAAAGCTTTTGTTTTAAATGTAAACAAAAGGGAAAAAATGCAGAATATTAAGATTATTGCCTAAAGTCATGAATGCAATGAAACTGTCACCTTTAAGTAAATATCACAAAGAGAAATAAATGTATGCATGTTGGTTGCAGAAGTACATAAAGACTGATTTTTCACTAATAATTTTTAATGATGAATGTCGAGCTACATTGGATGTACCTGATAGTTGAGATAGATATTGGGTCCTTTATGAATAGTCAACTAAGACAACTTAAAAGACAGTAGGTGGGAAATAAGGTAACATTTTGGTCTAGTATTGTCAGTAAAATTATAGGTCCATTCAAATGTTGATAAATGATAAGAGGTTATCATAAATCAATTTTCCCCAGATATGATTAGAATCTGGGGAAAAGTGTCTACCAGTTTGTTTTTAATAATATATATTAAAAACAAACTGGTAGACACTTTCTGGTTTCTGATCATCGAATGTGATAAGGTAATTTGATTTATGATAACCTCTTATCATTTATAGCTTTTCAACTTTTTCATTGTCTTTAATATTTCATTACATACCATTTTGCCAATTGATGCAACCTTGTCATTTGTGAGCTTTTTATGGTGTTTGAGTCCTGAGCATGTAAGGAGATAGTTGTAGATGTGTTTAGGGAAATATCTGTTGTGGTCTTTGATATTTCATAAATGCTTTTGGCGATCACTTTCTCACCAATGCAGTTGAGTACCTTTTACAAAATGCCTCAACTTATGAAGAAACCACCTCAACCCCCCAAAAAAAAAACAAAGAAAACCTTCCATAAAATTATACATCTATGCAAGCTAATCACTAACCACTGCTTCTTCTCTTTGTAGATTTAGGGATTCAGTTAGTTATATACAATTTCAATATGTCCGTTTTTATAGCATTAATAAAAAATATCTTTGAAAATTTGGCAATTTTTTTCAAATAGCTCCTTGAATTTTTTTTTTTTTTTTTTTTTTTTAATTTTACAGGATTTTTATAGCAGCAATAAACACAGATAGAACACCAAGTTATTCTTTTATAAGAATTTAGGTTAACGTTTATGGACCCTGGAGCCATTGCTCGCTCTATAAATTTAAATAGGATTATATGATCTTTAACCGGGGGGGGGGATAATAAATCTTGGATTCCTGGCTTGGGAAATTTCAATTCAATGTTCACTTCATTTATGGATAAATTAAATATTAGGTTGATTTGACTGACATGAAGTAAAGATCAAATTTATCAATATATTAACTTAACACTGGAAATCGAACCCCAAAACACACGTTTTGGAATTCATGCTCCGAGATCACTTTAAATACCGAAAATTTGGTGATCAACTCTAGCCGTTTTTGTTGACATATGAAGAAAAATAACATTCTGGTTGGTGAATTATTGAATACACGCAATCAATACAATTAATAAAGTAAAAATATTTTTTGGTGAAAATTAAGTATTTTAATGGGTGCTTTCATCACAATGCATTACTAAAATAAAATTAATTATCCATATTTTTCGGTAGGCACCCACATTCCATTCGTACATCTCAGAAATTTGAGAAATAAATCAATCTCGAAAATTAACGATATACCACAAACAAAAATGACGTCAATATTTTTTAAATGATAATTAGAAAATAGATGTCTTTCAAATGGTATTATATCAATCGATGAAATTTAGATTAGTACTATCATCAAGAACGTCAAAAGAAATAAGAAAATAAATTATAAAATAAGGGTTAGGAATGATATCGTTTTTTTTTTTCTTTTTTATTGAGTTCTGTCTTGCGTTAAAAATCACATTTCAACGCATGTGCGCGCGCTTCTGCGGTAAATCAAGGGAGATAATCACGATTATTTTGCTGAATAAAAAAAATATATATATCTATATTGGAGAAAAAAACCAAAACATGAATTTAAACATTTTTTTTTTCTAAGCATAAAATATCCACTGAAAATATTACGCCGAAAATAATTATGATTTCGTATTTAATGAATATATAATTGTTTAATTAATCCGTGTAAGAAAATTGAAGAGCCTCCTTGGCCCGCCCAAGTTTTTAATTTTTAAGTCAACTCCCTGTAGGGTTCGTACGAGACTTCCGACAACACCGTTTCATCTTTCCTGCTGGTTTATATTTTCAAGAAAAGGTTTATTGAGCAACTGATTGAATTAAGACATCGAAAAGTACTGTTACAACACACCAAACTGAGTATGTATTTGTTTTATATATATATTTCCATGCTGAACAATTCGTATTTTGGATGATATAGCTACGTATTAAATGTTGCCTCCCTTCTCTCTGGAAAACAACCGAACATGAACTGTAAGTGATTTGTTGTGTAGATTTATTGTTTTACTAATACCTTGAATTTTATATATCTTTTTTTATTTGCGTAATTGATCCTTCTTTAACTGTTACATTTATTTATATATACATATATATAATAATGTTTTTTTCTTTTTTTAGTTTAACGTCAAAAGTTATAAGTAATCTAATCATTTATGGCCTGGTAATGGATCGTTATTGCTAATAATCCTGGATCTCTTTAAAAAAAAAAAAAAAACCTTTATGACACAATTTAAAAAATGAAAACAAAAAAAGACGTTAAAAGTTTATACTTTTAAATCTACATTAAAGTTGTTTCTTTAGTTATTAATTAATCGTTATTATTTGTTAAGACTATGAAGAAATTAATATGACTTAGGTAACATTTATTGTCATCTGTGATCTCGGGCCTCTTAGAAGACAATCTTTTTTTTTTTTTTTCCTCCTCTTGAGGACGAGTGAATCTTGATTGTGACTATAAATTATATTAGGAAAAGGATTTTTCTTTTTTTTTGTTATTTTTTGATTGTTAATTTAAAACTAAAACAAAAAAAATACAACAAAAATAAAGTGATTTAGTTTTTAAGAGAGCTTAAAAAAAATAAAAGACTTAATTCTACTTGGGGTTTTTAAATTTAATTCTCTTTTTCTTCTTTCTTTTTTTTTTTTTTAATTAAATAAAAAATTATTTTGTGCCGGAAAAACGATTTAAATGAAATTTTTAGAGCCAAGACAATCAAAAAAAAGTGATTTAGTTGAAAGAAAAAGAGTTTTTTTATTAAAAAATAAAAAACTTAATTCTTTGTTTACGTCATCGCGGGGGTTTAAAAATAGTTTTTTTGCGTTTTTACCGTTGAAAACATATTGATTTAAAATTCTTTAATTGTCCAATCTTAATGAAATTTTTCAGGACTTATTCAAAATTTTATATTCTAATTTTTTTCTTATTCTTTCTTCGAAGATGGTAAATAATTTTTTTTTTTAATTAAATAAAAAGATTGAAAATTGGATAAATTCTTTAATTTAGAAAAAAAAGAAAATTAAATCGAAAAAAGATGAATAATTAATTTTTACAAAAAAGAAATTTTAATTTTAATTACAATGTTTTGTTACCAGGTTCCTCGATTTAACCTCCATTTAATAAATTTCTTTTTTAAAAATAATTTTTTTTTATTTTTTTTAAATTTCCATGCTGATATACAAAAATCGATAATTAACAACACATGATCTAAGGGTTTTGTCCTTTCAAAACATTTCGTTTACAAATCAGTTTTCCGATCAGATTTAAATTTAAATTTTAAATTTTTTTTTTTTCATTTTTACCCACTAAACATCCCAATTTAATTTTGTATTTCCATTTTAGTTTTTTTTTTTTTTTTTGACTTAAATCATTTATGGTCATAACATACAGTTTGTTCAATCATTATTTTAGTCAACAAAATTAAAAATATTATTTTTTACATGTAACAAAAGATCTTTCTTTAAATTTTTAATTTTTTTTTCCAATTTTTGCTTTTTTTAAAAATCGATAAATTACATTTTTTTTTTTTTGTTTTTAAAAATTTGAAATTAAATCTGACAATCAAACGTATAGGACGTTGAAAATTTAAAAAAAAAAATTTAGAAATCGTACATTTAATTATTAAACAAGTTGCTAAAATGAAATCTTAAGAATGTTTTTCGTTTTTTAAACCCAGAAAATTTTCCTTTTTTTTTAATTTCTTAAAATTAAATGGAAAAAAAGGTGTTTTTCTTGTTTTCATTTTTATTTTTCTTCTTTTTTTTTTAAATACCTAAAAATAAACATTTTTTATTTACAAATTTTTGACAGTTTTTTATTTTCTCACATCCCAAAAATTTTGCTTTTTTTTTTTTTTTTTTTTTTTTTAAATAAACAAACCATCGTTTGATACAATTACATTTTTTTATTGTTTTTTCTTGTTTTAATTGGATAGAATGAAAATTTAAAAAAAAATGTGGGATATTTTTTAACAAGTTGCCATCAAAACTTAGAGTAACAATCATTTTTATTTTTGTTTAAAATTTGTTTTTTAAAATGCTTTTTTTTTTTTTAAAAAAAATAAACAAACTGGGTTTGATATTTTCAGGACGAAATATTTTGAAAACGGTAACAATAATAATCCTATCAAAAATTTGTTTTTAAAGTAAAAAATCCTATATATTTCTGAAATACTTTTGAAAGCGGTTTTTTTTAAACCGCTTTGCTCCTATAACCTTCAAACTTTTTAAATTGAAACAAACACTTGAACAACTTAATAATTTGATATCCGTCGACTATTATTGGTAGCAGCCTAATTTTATCAGGACAAATCAAATAATAGCCTATTTTAAAATTGTTGGATTTTACACACTTTTTTTTTTCCTGTTTTTAAATTATATTAATTTTTTTTAATTTTTTTAAAGATAACATGTGTTGTGTACAACTGGGTTCAATAATGAAAATGATTTGTTAGACTTTTTTTAGTTTAACTACTTCAACTT